AGAAAAAAGAGGTAATTCACGATAATAGTACGAAATTAGAGATGACTATTTGCTAGATTCATCGATTAGATCATATAATGGATTTTGAGATTAGAGCAGTATAGAAAAAGTTCATGTTTTTTCTCGTAATTTTTTATGATATAAGAAGCAACTAAAAAATTTAGACAAAATACCTGAATTTTCATTTTTCTAAAATTTGAATGAAAGAAGTGCTAAATGTTAGTACTGCTATATAATTTTAAATAATCGAAAGACATGTAATTTTGTTATGGCAAAATCACTTAAATTTTTTTATTCTCATTCTATGAATCTTTATTAAATTTCAAATATTAACAAAAGAAACTAGAAAAAGCAAGTTCAAATTTTTTCGTGATAAATTATGACTAAGATTATTGTTCTCAATTATACAAGCATGATACCATGTTATTTTGTCTTTTAATTATTTGATTGGTGCTTAAACTTATGGAATATTAAGAAATTAGAAACGGCAAATATGAATTTTTCTATGATTCTTTATGATTAAATATATTATTATTAAAAATTATATATGTAAAAAATCCCAAATATATGTTAATATCGTATTATTTTATCTTTCAGCTATTTGGTTTTCCTAGTCAACAAGTAGCCTCTAAGAATTTATTCTCATGCATAATAATAATAATTATACAGCAAATTTATTCAGCAATTCATACTTCGCGAGAAGATATTCTTTACGTCAACTTGCGTTTTTATTCCTGCGAGTAAACACAAAGGATACCATAACCTAATTCTATTACGGCATAACGAACAATAACAACGGCTGACACGCATTAATGCACGCGTCTGCTGGCTCCGAGATCGCAAATAATTAATAAACATTAATGAAATGTTCACTCACGTGTCACCATCATCGTCCTGCGTGTAAAACTGCCAAAACTCCTCGTTAATCGCCTTTTCGCCACTGTTCTGTTGTGCAGAGACAGCGTTTCTATGATCTTGCAATTCGGTGCAATTCGCCGTCGGACTCGCGTTCACGGATGACAGCAGGAGATTCGTCGGTTCGGTCTGAATTAATCCGCCGGGTCGATCGAGCCGATTCAGATTCTGTTGCAGAGTGAGATGGCTCAGGCCCGTGCTGAGATCGACATCCACGATGCCGCTGTCGATAGTCCTCGTTGAGTCTTCCGCGATCACTGTCGACAATGATGCGACTGTACCCGTCATCGTCGACGTGATCGGTGCGGGTATCTGCTCCTCTTTGCTCTGCTGCCGTTCCTGTTGCAACCCCGAGTCGCCGATCTCATCGCTGAGCTGCATATTGCCGTCTGACAGGAATCCAGAATCTACGTTGCCCGTTGCGGACTCGTCGTCGTCGCGCTGCTTCTTGCTGTCCTCCACAACGTGCTCCACCATTAGAGTAGTCTTGCCCGAGGAACGCCACATTTTCGAGGCCCTCGACAAAGAAAGACGCCTCGGAAGTGTTCCTTCCTCGAGCACTCGTTTGGGAAAAGAAGACGATGCGTTGAGGAATGCGATCGCTACACCGCGACGCGACGCAATGCACCGGCACTGCGGCACTGAGATTCGCGCGAATTTTCGATAACACAATCGCTTTCAATCGCTCTCAATCTTCGTCATTATGCTCCAATATTATTGCTACTGCATCGTGGAGTCTCGAGACATTCTTAAGTCGCTTGAAAATCGAAATAATCTCGTTTCCTACCGTTTTCGCTCATTAAAATATATATATCGCGTTGATTTCTTTCTTCCTGTGTACTCGTGGTCTACCTCTTTCCGCTTTCGCGTCGTATCACTTGCATTTT